ATTTATTATGCTGATCTGTTCTGTACGACATCCATTGCACGTCTGTCCGTCCTGGAAGAGGGATCCCTCCTCAGTTGCTCTTCCTGAGGTTTCTACCGTTTTTTTTTTTCCCCCGTTAAAGGGTTTTTTTTGGGGAGTTTTTCCTTATCCGCTGCGAGGGTCATAAGGACAGAGGGATGTCGTATGCTGTAAAGCCCTGTGAGGCAAATTGTGATTTGTGATATTGGGCTTTATAAATAAAATTGATTGATTGATTGATTGATTGATTGATTGATTGAAGAACATCTTTAGGTTGCATCAGCTGACAGTTTAAAAGAGCCTCTTCTCCCACTGCTGCCATCACAGTCTGCTGAGTTTCTATCACAGCTGCTAGACCTGCAGGGAGGACAGTGTCAGAGGTGAGGCAGTGTGTTCCTCTGTAGGTCAAGTATGAAACATATGGTACAGTAGAAAGATAAACATGTGTGATTTCATGTCTAAATATCCTGAGTGACTGCCTGCCTTCACCTGACCATAACATTGAGAGGAGCTGCTGAACACAACTGTCCACAGCAAATCAGTGGCACAAAAAATAATATAACGCATCATATTTCTTCACTTCAAATAGTCCAAAAACAAAATAATACAGGATTTAGGGTAAAGGGGCGGAGCATAAGTTTATACCTGATAGGTAAACTACACCTGCGTTCCCGCGCACGCCTATAGTTGTTGTTGTGATATAATAGGCTACAATAGTCAGGTTTAACTCAGTGATGAAGTCTCATTTGTTAAGTATCTGTTGCTTTGTAAACTTCTATGCAAACTGTAATATTGTCATCAAACAAAGTAAAAGTATTTTCACAATTACCCGTCTAAAACACATTACACGCCTGCAATAATAAGAACAGAGCCGACAGGAGTCACACAGCTGTGTTTTCAGTTTCATTAAAATAAATAACTTACAGGCTATGAAATGACAGTGTTATCTCTTTCTCAACTTTCTGAAGGAATCCCAACAAACAAAGGAGGAGGATGACTGCTCGGTGCGCCATTTCTGCTGCTGGACTTTATCTGCCGCCGAAAATTCAAAGTGAAACTATCCAGAGACATACATCACTGGACAAACACCTCACTGTCATAAATAAGAATCAGGGGCAACAACAACATGAAGTGAACAGAAGTGAAACCACTCATGAAATTAACACATCTGTTTAATAAACAAAACAAAAGTAAATTAACATAAACAGTCAATTCAAATAAACACAAGACGTTTGACGTCCTATTACGCACCTCATTCTCTTGAATCATTAAAGGTGTTTCGGGCCTTCAGATAAAAACAAGATATTAGTCAATTTCCAAATCACTCTGAACAACAGTGATGACAAACAAGCTGACTATGAATACACAATGGTCCATGAAGAGTACAGTGTATCATGGTTGACTTCATAAATATGTTAACACATTAGTTAGGGAGGTACAGATGAAAGCACAAGTGAAAAATGAATAAAGTGTCTTACTCTTCAGTGTCTTTGGTTGTTTTTTGTGGTGTCTTCTTCTCCTCAGAGTCTCTGTGTGACAGACTGAAGGATTTAAGAAAAGTCAGTGCTGAACAAACATTTGTGGGTTTTGTCGAAATACATCTCAATTAATCATTATTATATTAACTGTGAGTCACTGGTGTTACAACAAGGTCAATTTAAAATCACCTGTTCTGATATTTCCTTATAAGCAGGATGATGATGACTGTAGCAGCAACACAAACACAGGACACCACGACCAACACAGTGATCAAAGTGACATCTGTGAGAAGAGAGGAAAATTAGTAACACTCAACATTCATAAAGCAACTACAGATCAAATGGTGAGACTGACATGAGACCACATAAAGGTTCACTTACTGAGATCACTGTTAACAGACCCAGATTCCTCATCAACATCTGGAAAAAGAAACTCAAACATCAGAACCATGAAGTATTTATCAGTCTATCAGTCAGTATCTTCTCAAGTGTTTCTCACCATCAGCAGACGACAGTGTGACCTCAGGAATCAAGGTAACATGATATCACATCAAGTTTTTACAGGACAGACTTTAAGGATGTTGGAGATGTCTTTGGTGTAAGTAGTGACATGCACACTGCAACTCACTCATCCTGTACTGACCGCTACTTCTGCTGAAGTAATTAACAGTATTAAGTGATTAACAGTATTAATAAAGAAGCGAGCAGTGGGACAGTTTTTCTGGAGCCAGTATTTTAGTAATGGCCTCTTTACTTGCTGTTGTTGTACTGATACGAAAACCCAAAGTTTTTGAAATGATTGTTGCTACTTCCTTCCAGAAAGTCTGAATAGAAGGACAAGACCAGAAAATATGGGCATGTGCAACCATGATTTCTCCACATTCCCTCCAGCAGCACAGCTGGGTGCCAGTTTGTTTCCACTTCTGTTTGGGTTTGATGAAAAAGCAGATCAGGTTTTTCCAGCAGAAGTCTCTCCAGGTCCAGGAGTTAGTGTCACGAGTCAGTTCAGAGGAGGACCCAAATGCAGACTAACAGACAGTTTCAGTTTTTAACAAAAAGTGAGCTTTAATGTCGCTGATTGAACAGTTTGTTTTACAGGGAGGTTATGTGCCAGATTTTTTCCTGTCTTTGGATTTAATACAGATTGAAAACACAAGATATAAATCTGCAAGAGCTGGAAGCTGAACTGCTTTACCTTAATAAGCTAAGAGCTGAAATACAGAGCTGGAAAAGCTGGAAGCTAAACTGTAATACTGTCAATGGTGGAAGATGAAATTAACTAAAAAGACTGAAAGAATTAATGATTCTCACTTTGAAAAGCTGGGTTCAAGCATATATGTCCTTAAAGAGCAAAACGTCTACAGCCAATCATGTCAGCAAAACAAATGACAACAGCCACTACATATTCCACATTTGAGTATAACATACATTTCCATCCATCTATTTTTATCCTCTTATCTGGGGCCAGGTTGCGGGGGCAGCAGGCCAAGCTTCCCAGCAATGCTCTCCAGCTCCTCCTGGGGGACCCCAAGGTGTTTGCAGGCCAGATGAAATATGTAATCCCTCCAGCATGTTCTGAGTCTGCCCCGGGGCCTCCTACCAGTGGGACGTAACCGAAACATGTCCAGCAGGAGGCGCCAGGAGGATCTGGATCAGATGCCTGTACCTCCTCAACTGACCCCTTTCGACTCAAAGGAGCAGAAGCTCTATTTCGAGCTCCCTCTGGATGTCCGAGCTCCTTACCCTATCTCTACGGCTGAGCCCAGCCACCCCATGGAGAAAACTCATTCTGGTTGCTCATATATGTGACCTCATTCTTTCAGTCACTACCCAGAGCTCATGACCATAGATGAGGTTTGGGATGTAGATGGACCAGTAAATCGAAAGCTTCGCCTTCCGGCTCAGCTCCCTCTTCACTCAGATTTGGAAGTGCTGACTCTCATCCCGACCGCTTCACACTCTGCTGCAAACCGCCCCAGTGCATGCTGGAGGTCACGGTGTGATGAAGCAACAGAACTACATCATCTGCAAAAAGCAGAGATGCAATTCTGAGGTCCCCAATCCGGACCCCTTCCTCCCCATGTTGGGGCTACAGCTCAAATAAACTGAAGTTTTCATGTCAGTGACACTGTGTCCTTGTATTCTGTATTCTGTGCCTTGAGTCAATAACCAATCAGACGTCTTGATGAGGTAATGGTGTTATGTACGTGAGGTAGATGGACTTGAAATAAAGCAGCAGAATCCTGCACATTGTTGATGTCGGAGAGTTTATGTATTAGACACAAAAGTGACAGCTCAATAAGCAGTACAACAATAAGTCAACACTGTGTTACACTTTCACGAATGAAGCCACGCCCACTCTTGGTGCACCACGATTATTTCCTGTAGGAAATCTGAAAACAGTTCAGATCAAGAGCTCTCTCTGTAGCTTGCACACTGCAACTCACTCATCCTGTACTGACCGCTACTTCTTCTCTGCTGGCGTCAGCTACTGATGTATCTTATACTGCTATCCTATACTCTATTACACCTTAAACAAATACCAATAACCATAAGGGTCCATGTCATTGGTTCGACAGCCCATTGGTTCGACATCCCATTAGTCCGACTGTCCGCGGTGCTGAACGGCTTGCGGCGGGCGTATGGTGTACCGCAACTGGCTTGAGGCGGAGCAGGCTCACGGCTTATGTGTTTGTCACTTTCTTTTTCATTTTAACCCACACCATGATCTTTTCCTGACCCTAACCAAGTGGTTTTTGTGCCTAAACCTAACCAGACCTTAACCACAGGGCATCATGATGATTTCAGAACGGACTTCGTAACAATGAGTTTAATATGGTCGGAACAATGGGATGTCGAACCAATGGGCTGTCGAACCAATGGGCAGTTCCCTAACCATAATACATCTTATCGTACCAGTATGGGATGCTTCATGGATATAAAGTCATGCATCTGGAAAGTCATCAGAATTTAAATACTGTAGTAACATTCAGGGACAACTATCAAAATAAAGTGAGCAATAAAGGTGTGATAAAACATTGACCTTGGGAACATAGCTGAAGGTCACAGAATCTGATGTGTCATGAATGTTGGAATGTTTCATCATAGAGGACTCTAGAATGGAATTCCTCATGGAACTGACCAAGCCTACAAATAGCCGGTTCACCATTTCAACTGTCACACATCGACAAGAGGGATCGACTTCAACTTTTCAACTGTGACGATCTCTCAAGATACAACGAGGGACAAAATGGTAAATTGATTCAATTTGTTTGTTTCTGTGAAAATCAGTTTCCCTGCAAAGACGTATACTATGAGACACCGGCAACAATTTGTACAGTCACAGCAGAAATGAGTAAATTAAAAATGTGGTTTGTCAGAAACAAATTAGGTAAGGGCTATTTTCACCCTGGTGCAAATATCAACATATTGCTATTCGTACCGGGGAACAATTAGAAGAGGATGCTATTTGTACCCTGGTGTATATAGCAGTGTATGCTAACGAATTGTTAGCTATGTAGCTAACCTAGGTTTTGTTGTACCCTGGATTATAGTGACGTGTGCTGTTTATACCCACCTTGGTGCAAATATTTGTACCCTCATTTTGTACAACTAAACTATTATCTTGTCAACCTCAACCCTCAGGACCTACGTTAGCTACATAGCTAACGGAGAGTTAGTCCACGCCGTTGTAAGCATTTTTAATTGTGTGGTGGTCACTCTGCAGTTACACCTCCAAAACACTCGCCGGCGGTTGTTTCAGTTAAGCGCTGTAAAGTTTAGTTGATTCAAAACACACCCAAAACACACAATAAACATGGCTTAATAGCAACAGTTTCAAACACAAGTACACAAATCAGCTTCACTATAACTCACGGCATTCACAGACAAATGTTTGTGTTAATCCGGACACATTTTCCCCACAAATACAACATGCTGACGTTATTAGCACAAGCCTATGGCATTTTACGTTGTATAAATTAGCCTAGCGTCTCATATAAAACCAGGGACAACAGCAACATTTCACGAAGGTAACGGCACACAGTTTGGCTCCATTACAACTCACAAGATTCACAGACAAAACAACTGTCATACTAAACACGTGTTCCAAACAAATACAAAATGCTAACATTATTAGTACAAGGCTATGGCATTTTACATTGTGTAAATTAGCCTAGTGACGAGCGGAGATTTCCTCTGCTCATATGAAACCTGGATAAATCCCAAAGTATAAATCCCTGAAGGATAAGTCACACACAAGACTTTGCTATCTTCACAATTTATGGTTTCTTATCTGTGAAATAAGAGTAAATAAAAGCTTTGTTTCAACTGAGAGAAATGGTTTCAGTATACAGAAACAAACAGGAGGTCTGTGTCCATTAGGTTTTTTGTACCCACAAAGTTTGTTGTCACACATCATACAGGGGTGAAAATAGCTCATCTGTGAGGCCAAGGCTATTTATACTGGGGTACTTAAATAGTCACTCTGAACAAATTATCATTAAATTTAAACAAAACCAAACTCATGATGTCAGGAAACAGTAAAATACACACACAAGTACAAGTTGTGATAGACAAAGTTATTATACACTGTAAACAAGAATCCACTGGTTTAACTTTTAAAAATTAAGGCAACAATTTGCATGCATCTTTTGAAGTAGTTCCAACTCTGGCATTATCGAGTCAATCCTATGAGTATTTAATAATCTGACAAACTCAATTAATTTAGTACAACCAACATGATTTGCTTTGACATCGAAAAGACAGGTCACCAGACTATCACGGGCTGACACATAGAGACAGACAACCATTCACACTCACATTCACACCTACGGCCAATTTAGAGTCACCAGTTAACCTGCATGTCTTTGGACTGTGGGAGGAAGTTAAAGTAGAGTCCAGCGATCTGCTTTTATTAACTTATAAGCAGATATGTTTATGTGACTACATACGCAGGATGAGCTGGGATAGTTGCACCCCATCTCACACCTTATTTTAAGTTTGTAATTTCATGAAGGTTGTATTAAGTCTGATAAGAAAAACAAAAAATGGCATGTGGCATCACAGTTGCTTTTCAGACAGAGATGTGATCAGTTATCTTTATTTGAAATCAGTGGGGGTAAATCTTCTAAATATAGTGGAATTTAGGAAATGGGTTTTCAAATCTTTATCTCTCTGATTTACTCTGCACTAAAACAAAACGAGGGCATGATAAATATCATCTCTGCATGTAAACTCTTCATACTACTATTGCTGGTGTCCTGTTTTGGGACAAAATGTGACGACATGTTGTCTCCATCACTCTTTCCTTCTCCTCTAGTCTACAAGTTACCAGGACGTAGTTCAGTATGCTACAACATCTGAAGACGACACCACATCCCCCTCCTCATCTTCAGATGATGAGTCCCAGGTCATCCTTGGCGTCCTCTCCTCCCCCTCCTCAGCTTACTTGATCCGCTCGTTTTTGGGGCAGGGGGTCTTTGGAAAAGTCGCCAAGTGCACCAAGTCAGCCACTAAGGAAACAGTGGCTGTGAAGATCATCAACAACACCTATAAATTTGAGGCACTGACCGAGGTAGGTATCAATGGTGTCATTTGTACAGTGCGATGCTTCAAATGTACTTTAAATCATTTGCCTGAAATCTAACATCTGATATGTTCCCCAGGCTGCCATCCTCAAACAACTGAGAGCTTTCGACTCAGACAGATACAACTTTGTCAGATACTACGGCGCTTTTACTGACAAAGAGCGATTTTGTCTTGAGTTTGAAATGCTGGACATGAGTTTGTGCACTTTCTTGGATAAGAGACCTCGCAACTGTTTCTCTGTGAAAGAGATCCACCCCATCCTACACCAGGTATGTACTGCATACAGGAGATGGACACATTAAAATACAATTCACCAAACCCTGTCACTGTTACTCTACCTGTCAAGTTTCCCATTCCCACAAGATACAGTTTACAATGATAACAGTGACAGTGAGTTTTCAGGCTGACCTTTTAATGTTTCCAGCCGATCAGTTTTAAAATGAGAATCCTGTAAAAGGTATCTGAAATATGCACTTGGCAGCTACATACATGCAATGCTAACAACTGAGGCTAAAGCAACATGTCCAAGGTTAAAGGTCAGCCTCCTCACCTGTTTATGACCAATGTAGCTATTGCCAAGGCTGCCAAGGTGTGACTGGACTTTGCTGTTTGGCAAACAGAGTCATGTTTTTGAGGGTATTCTGTGGTGCTGTCATATAGAGTCTCAAAACCTGGGAATAAGTTTGCATTTTTGATCCCTGGAGCACTCTGTTGTGGTGAATTTAAATACAGGGAGTTCCTGCTATTTTGTCCACCAGGTGGACTATAATCCATATTGTACAGGACTCAAATCCACTGTATTAAGTTGTCAGGTGTTTCTGTTTCTGTTCCACCACCTGTAAATAACTAATTTGCTCTGAAATTATACTCAGCTCAGATCTTACAGGGCTCTCAGCCTGGCAAAGCCCTGTTCAGAAACAAAAACTGACCTGTATACAGCGATTGACTTTATAACATGATTCATTCGTGACTTTCAGATGGCCACGACTCTACAACTCCTGGGAAGCCTTGCACTCGTGCACACAGATCTCAAGCCAGACAATATCATAATGGTGGACCATGTAAACCAGCCTTTGAAGGTTAAGATGATTGACTTTGGCTTGGCCCGTCATGCTTCCCAGATGGAGAGTGGCGAAGAAATGCAGGCGCTCCACTACAGGTAAGTAACAGGTGGCAGAGTTCAGGATTTAGATTTTATATCTACTAAAGCAACTAAAACAAATAACCAAACCAATGTATTTGTATTTCTTTTCTCAGGTCTCCAGAGGTCATCCTGGGACATCCCTGCACAGCAGCCATTGACATGTGGTCTTTAGGCTGCATTGATGCGGAGTTGTTCCTAGGCCATGCCCTGTACCCTGGCAGCAGCGAGTATGACATGGTCAGTATTACGACTAAAGGCGGATTTATGTTTGTGTGTCAGTTCTACACAGAGGCTACGCCGTGGGCTCTGCTGTAATGAGCATTTATATTTGTGCAGTGGTGTGTCACTTTGCAGTTACTCCTCTAACAAAACAAACAAAACAACAAAAAGAAATCTTTATATTTAATAAGTGTAACTGACTTTGTGACTTTGTGTTGTGCCAACAGCTACGACATATGGTTCAGACCCAGGGTCAGCTGCAGCTCGGACTTCTGGACAATGGCAGCAAAACAAGGGACTTCTTCTGCAGTGGCAGACGCCATGGACGCCGCTGGAGATTGAAGGTATGAACACTGTCAGCCAGAATGGCTTCCTTTTTATTTTTGTATCCATCAGTGTCTTTGTCTTGTTATGCTGCTCACTGTGTTTAAGCTAATCAAATGAAATTTCTCTTCAGACACGTTTGGAATACGGACAAGTCACCAGGGGCAATAGCAAGTTCAACTCCCTGGATGATTTGAAGAAGGTAGGAAGTTGAATTTGGCAAATCAGATTTTTTTTTCTTCTTAAAAATGAGTACATTTGCCATAAATCATAAGCACCATTAAGATAAACAGAGATTTTTCTGACCTTTGTGATTTATTCTGATTCAGATTAGACCAGTCTGCCATCTGTCAGATGAGGACACCATGGCACAAGTTGAAGACATGGACAACTTCATTGATTTACTGAAGAAGATGCTTTATCTGGACCCAAGTAAACGGATATCGCCCAGCCTTCTTCTTGAGGATCCATTCATCACCATGAGTGACCTCAGTGACAGCCACCCCAACAGCTTCTAGTAGGTCTACATTAAAATGCTGTGTGTAGAACATTTGTGCTGGTGCAGATGGACGAATGTTGATTTAATTATTGATTTTCTCTTAGCACCAAATCAGCCTGTGAGATGATGGAAGTCTGTCGGGATCAGAGTCAGAGATCAGAGGACATGGAACAGGATCCATGGCTCAACCCGCAGGCCTCCACCAGCACAGCCACCCCCAACCAGCACTACACCCCCAGCCAGGTTGCTCCTGCTTGGCACAATCACCACGAGCATCCCCTGGTACTGGAGGTTGCATTGGCTATCTCCAGTAGCCTCTCCATCTGTGACGACCAGAGTCCACCACAGCCACAGCAACTCAGCTGTTCCGTTGCCAAAGGAAAGGCAACGCCAGAGCAGCAGTTGCCCACCACCTCTGTGGCTACATCCGATACTGGCAAAGTATCGGATGTGAGGAAACTGAAGAGGAGGTTTTCTGAAACCTCACAGAGCGGTGACAGGTGAGTGTTGTATACCCTTCCTGGTCTTACTTTGCAGTATACGTGCATATATACAGATTACCTGATATTTGCTGTTAAAATTGAAAAAAAATGAAACTGTATTTGGTCTATGCAGAAGTCCGGAGAGCGGCCCAGCCCCGAAGAAGAGGATGAGGATGGATTCAGTCGAGACACATGGAGATAGAATCATCTATAGCAGCACACATTTGAGATCAGCTGTAAATGAATAACACGTTGAAGCATTGTAAGCATCATAACTTTATATTTTTCATTTTTCCTTTTATGCAGAGCAACACAAAACCTCCAAAGAGGCTCCAGCTGAGGCTTCGTCCAGCACGGCCACAGCTACGCCTCAGAGGAAAAGGACGTGGGCGAACTTTGTAGCCTCATACACTGGGTCAAGGTGGGTGTTATTCTATTTGTCTATTCTTACTAAAGATTGCTGTTCAAGTTCAAGACATTCAAACGTATTTCATCTATGCAGAACTCCATACACTGGATCACCGGAGAGGAAGAAGAGGAAGATGACAGTGATGGATTCTTTAAGCGAGGCCCAAACTGAAGCTCCGTCCACTGAGGCCAAAATTAATCCTCAGAGAAAAAGGATGTGGGTGACCTTTGTGGCCTCGCACCCTGGGTTAAGGTAAGTGTTCTTTTATTTGTCTGAACTTATTTATGCTAATTGTTTAAATTCAAGACATTCAAACACATTTCATCCATGCAGATCTCCATTCAGCGGTTCGCCAGAGAGGAAGAAGAGGAAGATGAGCCTGCTGCTTGACTTGAAAGAGGCTGAAGCTCCGTCCACAATAACACCTCAGAGTAAAAGGACGTGGGCGACCTTTGTGGCCTCGCACCCTGAGTCAAGGTAAGTGTTCTTTTATTTGTCTGAACTTATTTATGCTAATTGTTTAAATTCAAGACATTCAAACACATTTCATCTATGCAGAACTCCATGCTCGCCGGAGAGGAAGAAGAGGAAGATGGAAGTGATGGATTCATCAAGCGAGGCCCAAACTGAAGCTCCGTCCACTGAGGCCAAAATTAAACCTCAGAGAAAAAGGACGTGGGCGACTTTTGTGGCCTTGCACCCTGGGTTAAGGTAAGTGTTCTTTTATTTGTCTGAACTTATTTATGCCAACTGTTTAAATTCAAGACATTCAAACACATTTCATCTATGCAGAACTCCATGCTCGCCAGAGAGGAAGAAGAGGAAGATGGAAGTGATGGATTCATCAAGCGAGGCCCAAACTGAAGCTCCGTCCACTGAGGCCAAAATTAAACCTCAGAGAAAAAGGACGTGGGCGACTTTTGTGGCCTTGCACCCTGGGTTAAGGTAAGTGTTCTTTTATTTGTCTGAACTTATTTATGCCAACTGTTTAAATTCAAGACATTCAAACACATTTCATCTATGCAGAACTCCATGCTCGCCAGAGAGGAAGAAGAGGAAGATGAGCCAGTCACATGATTCAAATAAGGCTCCAACTGATGAGTCTGAGACACAAAAGAAAAGTAAGCTTATCTTTGACTCCTGTTGAGTGGGTCTCAGTCTCAGTTAAAAACAAAGCAGGTGGTTTTGGTGAAACCTTAAAACTTTTTTTCCCCCACAGGGAAGCGCCAGGACTCTAACCAGGCATTATCCAGCGAGGCCAAAAATCCAGAGATCATTGAAAAGTTTGTATTTTGTCACTTCCCAGTTTTAAAGAGATTGTGCTGTTACTGTAGGATTCAAGATATTTAAACAACATTTCATCTTTGCAGGTACCCAGACTGCTCATCTCCAAAGAGGAAAAAAAAAGAAAAAGATCCCCTCCGGTGACAGTGGCCCAAACCAGACCTCTGAGGAAAAGGAAATGTCCGATTAGGTAGGTGTTGAATCACATCCCTGTTTAGTCGGTCTGTCCCATTAGACTTTACGATTCAAGAGATTCAAACAAGTTTTGATGTGTGCAGAAATCCAGACTGCAGCTCCTCCACAGAGGAAAAAGAGAGAGACAAGCCTGGATTGAGGGTGCACCTTCACATGCAGGTAAGCTCTTCTAACGCAACTCACACTCAGGATCAGCTGATTGTAAATCAAGAAACTTTAGGTCTGATACTTGTGAGGATTAAAATTTGTTACTGAAAGTTTGCTATGCAAACTTGAGAACTTGGCATAACTAAACTTTGTTGTTGTTGGACAGCGGCAGGCCACCAGAGCCACGACAGACAGCGGAGGCCGACGGAGGCCGACGGAGGACGACAGAGGACGACGGAGCCAGGACAAAGGATCAGGACCACAGATGTTAGTGTATACATTATTACATTATATACTTTTATATTATATTGTATTATGTAATATAATGTTGTTGTTTTTTCAAAAATAATAGAATGTAATATAATACAATATTAAACAATAAAATATATATAATACAAATAATCCTTACATTTATTT